TACTTTGGACGCATCATGAGAAGAGAGGACTCTTTGGAAAAGACAACAATGCTGGGGAAAGTGGAGGGAAGGAGGAAGGCCACAGGACAGATGGAGGGACTCTATGAAGGAGGTCACTTTGGATATTAAGGGTCTGCAGGAATTAAATAGAGCAAAGGAGGACAGAGGGTCTTCTTGGAGATCTCTCATCCACAGGGTCGCCATGAGTCGAGATCGACTTAAGGGCAATCAAGAACAACAAAAGCTCTCACATGTGAGCTCAAAATGGCACCTTCCCAAATGTTTCAAGTCTCTATTCACCATTAACTGAATGGCGACATGTTCTCCATCTGTGATTTAAAACCTTGGGGGGGGGGGACCAAATGATGAATATCAATTAATTTCCAACAATCTTGTAGCATGGAAAAGGTAGGATTCAGGATGCCCCCTTTCTATAGTAGGTGTCCTCTAATAGAAGATGAAGAGAATATTTTATTTATCTTTCACAGTGATCATGCTGGGTGGAGTATTCTAGGGTTTATAATCCAAAATAAAACCAACCCAGTGTTATAAGACAATTAAAAAAAGCATCAATAAAAGAAAACATCACCCCCTCCTTCAATTATAAACACTTAGGCCTCTGAATAATCCTCTTTCTTTGGAAAAGCAATGGTTTGAACCAATATTTCCCCTTAAACCTGTTTAAAATTCAGGATCCAGCATGACATGCTAGTATCTTAGACTGTTGAACCATCATCTCTACCCTGAAAGGAGAACAAAAAATATTCCTGCCCTACCTAATAATATGGAAAGTTTAATTTCAGTTGCAACAGAGATGGGAAGAAGAGAGGCAGAAGGCGATGTTCTGTTCTGCCAGGAGAACTGCAAAATCATTTTTCGGTGGAGGTTTTCATCCCATGATGTATTCTCATGAGACTTGATGGATCACTCTTACTGGATTTAAGAACTCTGAACTGATCAATTGTATGATCAATTAAGGGACGGGTGAGTTTCGGGATTTTTAGGTTCTGTTTATATTGTATTAACATATCTTTATGTAAATTTTAATGTTGTAAGCCGCCCCGATTGCTCTGCAGAAGGGCGGGATATTTATTATTATTATTATTATTATTATTATTATTATTATTAGTCTTTAATCTGAGAAATCTGCATCAGTGTGTATGCAGGCAGAATCCAGCCTCAGAGGAAGATAAGGATCAACTTCTGCAAAGAAAATGCCATGATAGGTTTGCCTTAGTGTCACCATAAGTCAAAAATGACTTGAAGGCACACATCATCATCATCATCATCATCAAGTATATGTTAAAGCAGATCCCATCTGTGTGAGTGTGAAGGAACAAGTTGTTGTTGTTGTTGTTGTTGTTGTTGTTGTGTGCCTTCAAGTCATTTCTGACTTATGGCAACCCTGTCATGGGGTTTTCTTGGCAAGATTTGTTCAGAGGAGGTTTGCCATTGCCTTCCTCAGAGGCTGAGAGAGTGTGACGAAGGAACAAGAACGAATGTCTTTTCTGAACTTTTGTACAAGTAGTTTAGGGAGGGGAAATCCTTTACAGTTAGGGGAGAAAAAAACCCTCTCAATAATGACTGGAAAACCCAACAGATTTTTGTTTGCACAACATTTTACGGATGAAAACTGGGAAATGTGCGGTCTGTTAGCCTACCCTGTATACACTGCACTGTACTTGGAGTAGCTTTTTGTCTTGCAAATGGAATTGAAAGTTTATTTTAAATAGACTTTAAGAATCTCCCATCTGAACTGAGGACAACAACCACAACATCTGGACCAAATGTAAGGCTATAGCTAACATTGCTTTCCTTCCTTCCTTCCTTCCTTCTTTCTTTCTTTCTTTCTTTCTTTCTTTCTTTCTTTCTTTCTTTCTTTCTTTCTTTCTTCTGTATGATTTTCTATCATCTTTGCCTGAGGAAGAAGCCAGTGGAGCTTTGCAAGCTTGCAACATGTATAATGTGCATTTTGGTTGGTCCAATAAAAGTATCACTGTTTTGTTTGATTTCAGTTAACATTATGGTTCACTTTGCCTGTCTTGCCAACTAATATTCTCAATTGTGACTTGCACTGTCACCTGCTGGAAATGTGCTTTACTACACCACTTTCTTTTCTGACTAGTTCCAAGTTATTGTTCACTAGTTACGTACACATTTTTGCTCCTTCCTTAGGCGAAACATGCAGGTGGGAAACAAGAGGAAAGGGAAAGTATTTATTAGTATTCATTTACAATTGTATGTATTAGTATTAGTATACTAGCATTTATTAGTATTCATTTACCATATGTTTATGCTGCCTTTCCAGCCAACGCGTCCCAAGGAATTTTTTTTAGGATTGCCGAAGTTTTTAATATAAAAACTTTTTAAAAGTTCTTTTTTAAAAATAGAAAAGCTGCATTAAAAAAGATGGAAATAAATCTACGTGGTATACTTGGTTTGAAAAAAAAAATCCAAAAATCCACCAGATGATCTTGTAAAGATAAAGAGAGCCAGCATGGCATAGTGGTTTGAGCGTTAGACGACACAACTCTGGAAACCAAGGTTCGATTCCTGGCTTGGCCACAAAGACCACTGGGTGACCTTGAGCAAGTCACACTCTCTCAGCCTCAAGGGAAGGCAATGGCAAACCTTCTCTGGACAAATCTTGCCAAGAAGACCCCACGATAGGGTTGCCATGAGTCAGAAATGGCTTGAATGCACACAAAACACACATACAGAGAGATTTATCTTGTAGCTGGAGGGGATAGATCCATCAAAAAAATATTTTTTTATAGAATTTTTATTATGGAATTGGGAACTCTGTCCTATTTTTTGCCTGGTTTTTCAGGCTATGTGGGCATGTCCTGGAAGAGTTTATTCTTGACATTTCGCCAGCCTCTGTGGCTGGTATCTTTAGAGAAAGCCTTCGACTTCACATCTGTCTTATATATTTGTGTGCAAGGCCTCTTGCATTAATGCATTGCAAATGGAAGGACTTGTTAAGTATGCAATGACCTGGAAAATGGGATGGGTCATTCCTTTATGGCTTCTTGGGTCAATAAGCCACGGATAATAAACCATGGTGGAGGTGTTTGGAATCCAATCCACGTTGTGTCAGGGTTGCGATCAGGATCAGCGCATTTTCAGCCATGCGCAAAAGTGTCTGGCTTCAAAGTCGGACAAGTCCTGTCATCATCAGGAGCGAAGGTTGTTCGAAAAATGGCACCAAGAAGGAATCATCACTGTCTCTATGGTTGAGAACAAACTGGTTTTTAGGGAGAAAAAGGCACTACGTTTCTCACCAGGCACTCAGTACAATACTTCCAGCTCCTCATTTTTTTAAATAATAAGTTTCTAGTTCTTATGGCTAGGAAATTTTTTTTTTATTCTTTATGAAGATAGTGGATCAGTATCTGAATTACTGAAGGATAGATGTGTGGTTGACTAAAGGTACATCTACACTGAAGAAGCAATGCAGTTTGACGTTGTTCCAAAGTGCTGCAATGCTATTCCATGAAAGCTTGGGATTTGTAGTCCTACAAGGTCTTTAGCCTTCTCTGCCAAAGAATGCCGGTGCCTGACAAAGCTACATATCCCAGGATTACTGCAGAATGGAGCCCTGAGAATTAAAGCGGTATCAAACGGCATTATTCCTACACTGCAGACCTACCTAATTTGACTGCCACAGCTCAATGCTATGGAATTCTGGGATTTCTTGTTTCGTGAGATATTTAGCCTTCTCCATCAGAGAGCTCTGGTGCCACAACAAACAATTTCCCAGGATTCCACAGCATTGAGCCATGGCAGTTCAAGTGGTGGGAATCTGGACTATTTCTGTAATGCAGATGGCAGCCTTGGTTAACCTTTCCAAATGTTTGTGTGGAATCCTTAGTGCAAAGAGGGAAGGCAAAACATGTTAAACTCCCTTCTTAGGAAGCTTTTCCCTACTTAGGAAGATTATAAACACAAATTTTTGGTGCCATCCAGATATTTTTGACTTCAGCTCCCTTCACCCATTGCATCTAAAATGTATCTGTTTGAGGAAATCTGATATTAACCTGCTGTGCTATTTTGTATATTTTTTGGACAGAAAAGCCCTTACAGTTGATAAGAACATAGCATAAAACCCAAATGAGTCCTATCAAAATGTATTGTAAAATGTTTTTTAAAAGTATCGCTTGGATGTAAATTGTTACTTATTGCACAGTAAGGTAATTCCCCTCTTGTTGCTTTTGAAATGTAACTTTACAACCAATAAATATATATCAATAAATGTTTCAATCAATCAGTATCTATCAGTATCAACAGATATATATGTATCAACCTATATATATATATATATATATATATATACCAATAAATATATATCTAAATAAATAAATATTTCAATCTATATCAGCCTATATATAGAGAGATTGATTGAAACATATTTATTGATATACATTTATTGGTGTGTGTATATGTATA